TGGACTGGGGGGGGCAGGGAGCCTCCTCAAAAGCCATGATTTCTTGTGAAATGATCCTTTGAGTTTACTGTAAATCTGAAATTCATATGCTTTTCTGAAAAATAATCAAGGCTGCAAACTTCCAGGGCACTGCTGTTGTTCAGCTGGACTGGAATGCAGACAACAAACGCTACAGGATAATTAGGGAAAAATTTTAAACTGAATTTGTAACAAATGGAGCATGTTGCTCTTAATAAACAACAGAAGTGTTGTGCCTAACCATTAACAAGGCCTGATGAAAACAGTTCCCCAGAAATAACCTCCTTCTTAGAAGAAATGTGATTAGACGTGTACTTAATCCTCTTCTCGGTGACAAACAATGATAGGACAAGGGGTAATGGGCACAAACTGGAACACAGGAGGTTCCACTGAAATTGGAGAAGAAACTTCTTCTCAGTGAGGGTGACAGAGCACTGGCCCAGGCTGCCCAGAGAGGTTGTGGAGTCTCCTTCTCTGCAGACATTCAAAACCCGCCTGGACGCCTTCCTGTGTAACCTCATCTGGGTGTTCCTGCTCCGGCAGGGGGATTGGACTGGATGAGCTTTGGAGGTCCCTTCCAATCCCTAACACTCTGGGATTCTGTGTGATTCTGTAATCCATGTGTGCTGCGTGTAGATTCAAGGAAGAGCCTGCCAGATCCTCCTGTGCTCCATACAGGGAGTTTTGGATGGTGGTGTAAATGAGTTAAAAAGCAGATTATGGCAAGGAGGACAGGCATACTGTGGTACGAAACACTGTCAGGTAAATAAATGGATGAATGGTATCTCAAGGAAAGAAGAGAACTGCAGGAGGAAGGTGAGAGCAAACTCTCATAGGAAAATGACAGTAGAGGACAAATTTAAAAAGCCAAAAGATTCAAATACGAAAAACATATTTAGCAGAGAAGGAAAGAGGAGATACATAGTTTTGACAGGTTTTATTGATGAAAACCAAAATACATCTGTTAATAACAACAGCAAAACAGAAACAAAACCTGTCAACTAAAAATGGAGTCACAGAAGCTCAAAACTGATACAGATTTTCCACTGTGCAAGGAGAAATACTGAAAAAAAGGCTTCTGCCAGGACAGGTGATGAAGAAATCAGAACATCTGTCTGAATAAACAGCTCCAGAAGCAGACAAATCCAGAGGGCTCGGAGCCAGGGGGATCCATCCCGGATCACTGAAGGAAGCGGCCAGTTTTATCCAAATGAAAACAGCAATGGGTCTTTTATAAACATACTCCTAACTGAGCACAACATACTTTCTTTTTGCTACAACTGTCTTACGTACTTTGCAGTGGACAGAGAACAGAAAGAGACGCAGCACAGTGAAACGATGAAGAAAACTCCACCGACGTGAAAGGGGCCCCTGTGCTTATCAAATACAACGTGGGCTCACACAGCACAACTGCCCCGGGCACGGGAACCACGGCACAGCACTGCTGCAGGCAGCACACTCATTTTCCTGGCTTTATAAGCCCAAAGCTCATGATTTACCCATCTATAAACTGGTGACACTGCTTCATTGCCAATGTTATACTTAGTAATGCCTACCATTACTTGAAAAATGCAAAGTTCTGTTCACTTTACTATCTTTAGAAATACTGACTGTGTTGGTTTGAAATCCCCCAGATTTCATAAGCAACCTAGCAACACCTGGAAACGTTGCCAGGTCCAAAATGCACCTGAAGTGGAGGTCACCTGGCTGTTGACTTTGCTGGTCTTATTTATCTAGAGCTGTTAGATCTCCTGTGTGATAGGATCCAAGAGGATTGTCACTGGTGTTCGTAAGTGGATCAGGAGATGGGAAACTGTATTAACTTTGTAACACAAGAACGCTAGCAGCTGGAAGACACACACTTGTAACCATGTTTTGCATTTCTACATCTTTCAGATGAGGTTCAACCACATCATCCAATAAAATGAACCCTGAATGCTTCATCAGGAAATGCCAGTTCAGAGCAAGAGCTCAGACACCACCTTTAAGTTCTGCACGGAAAAGCAGATTTGGCAGGAATGACCAGTTTACCTTGCAGTTAAATTCATCCTTTTCACAGAATCCCAGAATGTGAGGAGTTGGAAGGGCCCTGGAAAGCTCCCCCAGTGCAACCCCTGCCACAGCAGGATCACCAGAGCAGTCACACAGGAACACGGCCAGGGCTTTGGGGGTCTCCACACAAGGAGACTCCACAGCCTCTCTGGGCAGCCTGGGCCATGCTCCAGAACCCTCACACTCACAAAGTTTGTCCTCATCTTCAGCTTGAACCTCCTGTGCTCCAGCTTGGGACCATTGCCCCTTGTCCTGGCATTGGCCATCCCAGAGCAGAGCCTGGCTCCTTCCTCCTGACACTGCCCTTTCCCAATGGATCCCCAGGAATGAGGGCACCCCTCAGGCTCCTCTGCTCCAAGCTCAAGAGCCCCAGCTCCCTCAGCCGCTCCTCAGCAGGAGATGCTCCACTCCCTCCATCACTTTGTGGCTCTGCTGCATGGGGTTATTGCAACCCAAGTGCAGAACCCGGCACTTGGCCTTGTTAGGCAGGAATTCTTTGCTTTTGACCCAAAACATTGTGCTGCCCCTTACCCCACAGTTTCTGTTCTCTGCAGCCACCAAAGTACCTGCCTGTCTGCCTAAAACAACTGCACAACAAGACCTTTCAAGTGACCAAACAGATCTGGCTCAGTTGCACGGCCTTACAAAACATTTCTGTTAGTTTGAAAGCCTTTTCCAGTTTGTTACCTCTACGTATATTGGGCCATTCTCAGCAACAGAGAAGAGTCCTTGGGAGGGAGCGAGGAACAGATCTGTTTTGTACAGCTCCATGTTGAAGGTCACGTTGGTGATGTGCGGTTCAGTAGGCCAGAACATGCCTCTGTCATCCTCTGGCTGCTGCAGCGTGCAATTAAACTGCAATAAAAAAACCAATACAACAGCATCCTGAGTCAGGAGTGGTAGCTGGATAAGGACAAATTGGGAGTGTACAATACAGGCCCACCCATGTTCTGTCTACTTAGTGCAAATCTTCAACAGTCACAAGAAACAGAAGTGAGAAGAAATGTGTTAAAAGACAAGTTATTGCTATACAATTAATATAAATCAAGTGAAGCGCCTATTCCAGTAGGCATTGCTCTGTTGTTAGGTGTAAACATGAGTTACTTACTGCTATTTCAGGCCAGCTCGAGAACGCGACATCTCCCTCATCAGCATCCCCTGGAAATCCATTATCACCTGATTCCAGGTCGTCGTCATCGAAGCCGCTGCTTTCGGCCGGTGGTGACAGCTGAATCACGATCTGCACAGAAGGGATTGCAAACCCACAAAATCAGCTGATAACCGAGCACTCACTCCTCACGGTTATGATTTTCTCCTCTCTTCAACAATGCAAAGGCCAGAAGAAAGTGCACCAGCTAAGCAGAAGGTAAAAGCACATCTTAAACAGCCATGTGCCCAGCATTTCAGATACCTAGGTTATATTTAGAGAATGCCCCTTAGGTTTTTTTTCCCAGATTCAGAGCCAGCAAAGAGAAGAGTCTGAGTGCTGGTGTCCAAACAAGCAGCCTCGCATCTCCATTCTATGTCTGGCATTTCTATACTCAACACTGAAAAAAAATAATGGCTTTCCAAAGTGATTTTTTTGCAACTTAGTTGTCCTTAATGCACTCACGGAAAAATCACTGGCAGTGTTAGAGTCATTAAAGGATTTCCTCTTCTGCCATTTGAATATTTTTTGCAGAGATGTACACCCAAAAACACGATGTCCTTTCCTTCATTTCTCCTTTCTTTGTTTTTTTCCTCCGAATTTTTACTGAACCCCCCTGGGTTGGGTTGGTTTTTTTCCCCTCCTTTGCACATTTCTCCATTTCTTCACCTGAAAACTCCCATTTTTGTTTTCCGATGGTCTCCACTCTGCTACTGTGTGCCCTGCAGTCAGGCTGGGTCCCCTTCCTTCCAGGACTTCATCTTTATTTTCTAGAATGTAGAGCTATTGCTAGGAAGTGACACATACACTGCATGGTGTTTATTTTTTAGGAGAAATGCTCTCAAATTCTGAAAGATCCCACACACGATTCAGAGTTTGAGTAGCCAAGACTATTAAAAGACACGATGGAGAAAAGCAAGGAGGCAAATACCCATTTTAGCTTGGGCCATAACAGAATATAGGGACAATGACAGTATTTAGCTCCAGGCACGTGCTGTTCTGCAGTTTGAAGATGTCTCTATCCACAGTCTTGGTTTGGGACTGATTCTAAATTAGGTGCTGCAGACTTGCCAGGACAGAATGGTTTTAACCAGGCAAGGTCAGATCAGATTGCCTGTGCTGTGTTTGGGTTGGACCACAGGCTTTCCACCCTTTGCCAAGGTTACTGCTAAGTGCTGGAAAGCTCATACAAGAGAAACGTGTCATGACTCTCCAACCCAGATTAGCTGCACTGTACTCAAGCTCATAAGCTGAGCCACTCTGGAAGCAGTCACCCAGAACCTTACTGGGCTCCTTAGCATCATCACCCCTATGCAAGAGTCCCTTCATCACGTACCTTAGCTGATAGCAAATACGAATTTGGTTGTTGGTTGACAGTCGGCTTCACATGAGCCAGCACTGTGCCCACGTGGCCAGAAAAGCCAATGGCATCTTGGCCTGTGTTAAAAACAGTGTGACCAGCAGGGCCAGGGAGGTGATCATCCCCCTGTACTCGGCACTGGTGAGGCCGCACCTCGAGTGCTGTGTTCAGTTCTGGGCCCCTCACTATCAGAAGGATGTTGAGATTGTGGAGCGTGTTCAGAGAAGAGCCACAGGGATGGGGAGGGCTCTGGAGAACAAGCCTGATGAGGAGCGGCTGAGGGAACTGGGCTTGTTTAGCCTGGAGAAGAGAAGGCTGAGGGGAGACCTCATCACCACCTACAACTGCCTCAAGGGAGCTTGTGGAGAGGTGGGTGCTGGTCTCTTCTCCCAGGTGATGGGGGATAGAACAAGGGGAAACGGCACCAAGCTGTGCCAAGGGAGGTTCAGGTTAGAGATAAGGAGGAAGTTCTTTCCTGAGAGGGTCGTCAGAAGCTGGAACAGGCTGCCCAGGGAGGTGGTGGAGTCACCATCCCTGGATGTGTTTAAAGAGCGGGTAGACGAGGTACTTAGGGATATGGTTTAGTGGGTAGACAGGAACGGTTGGACGTGATGATCTCAGAGGGCTTTTCCAACCAAGAAATTCTGTGATTCTGTGAATCCAAATCATAAGAGGGAAGCATACACAGGTAATGTCTTTTCCTCACATTTTGAAAGGCTTTTTCACACACTATTTTAGAAATATCACTTAAAATAATTCAGCACATGAATTAAATGGTATTGCTTTGTGCAATCAGCAAACTTCATTCCTATTCCTCCTTATAGCGGCGTAGTACTGCTTACATATATATGGGTACATCAAAGCTGCATAGGGAAAGCTGGTGCAACTTCTCTGAGACTGGTACAGAAGATCCCAAAGTGCAGTTCTGTCAAAGTATTTCATTCCAACTCCTCCTTTTCCCTTTGGGACACCATCTGACCACAGGAGCACACCGAATGTACAGCCTTCATACCTCCTTGAACACAGGGACTGTAGCTACAACTGGGTTTGAGCTAGACAGGAAAAGACCAGGATGCCTCCCTCTTGCTAAGACTAAAGCTATCTACAGTGGCTTCCTTGTACCACTATGATGTGCAGTGCAGTGCAGAAGGTGGCTCCTCTTGGTAACATACTCACCGAGTTAAAATAAACTATCTTGTTCAAGATATACGCTGTCCGAGTCCCACACTTGTTCAGCGAAGACTCCAAAATGAAATGGGTACCATTCATCCTGGCTTTGCAAGAGTGATCCAACAGCGAGAGCTCTGTCCTTGCGTAGCCGCTAGCCTGAAACAAAGATGCTTTGTGAGAGGCTGCAACACAATTGTGTGAGGCTCAGAATACTGTTCATGGCTGCAGAGAGGAGGAAGTGAAGTTCATTGTACTGACAGCCACGAAGGTCACTCTCAAAATGCTGCCATACACGACAGACAGGGCATAAAAGCAACAGGGACCAAAGAAAACAACAGGTTCATTATTAATCTCCTGATTAATAATGCTGGCTCTGTTTGGTCTGAAATGAGCTAAAAAGGCTTTTTAAAAATGCTCTCTGTATCAGGCTCTTTTCCACAATGCAGATGGACACAAGCAACCTGTCAGCTGGTAGGTGGTAGAGACAGATCTGTTCAGGTCTCACACAGCTATCAAGAAGCAGCTTCTTCGTACTTTGGAGTTTAAAAACTCAGACTGATGGCTTAGGACAGTAATTTTTGACAGAACCAGCCCTGCAAAGCTTTAGTCAGAAATCCCTCAACAAACTCCCAGATTGTTGGGAAGAGGAAACATGACCCCGAGTTATGGCAAAGAATATCCACAGTTTAGCTTCCTCACCAAACTACTTCTGGGGAACTGGGTGGTAGATCTTAGAATGTTTCTTTTTTCAATGAAAATACAAATAAAATGCCCAAAAACCAGCCTGCCCAAATTTGAGAACAAGAGATCACACCAACCTGAAGAGAGTCTTTTTCTACAGCTACTGTCATGACTTTGTCATCACACTTTATTGACAGGGCCACTTCAGCACTGCCCTGAACCTCTTCGGGTTCTTTATGTTTTGAGAGGGAATGCTCAAAGTCATGATTTATTAAGGTATCCACCGAATCCCTGGATGGGAAGATTCCTTCTCCCACTGTGTCGTGTCTTCCTCTGTTGATGTGAAAAGGAAAAGCCAGGCCATCACTTAATGCAGGATTCTTTGGGGCAGGCAGTGGGTTAGCACCCAGCAATTCTGTCAGCTCCGGAGGAAGGGAATGGTCTTCTTCATCATTCATCTCTTCTAAAATCAAATAGGAAAAAAATAAAGGAACATTAGGTTAATATTTTTCCTTAAAGTATCCATAACTAATTATTTTCACACACACAAAAATATCCAGCAAGGAAGCTCTTGAAGGACACCCAAAGCAGCAACTTTGTACTTTTCAGGTAACTACGGGTTTAGTTGTTACTGAGGCATCTAATCTGGGTATATTTAGCCCCTGGTAGAAATGTGCTTCACTAAGAGCTGAAAACACACTTTGAATAGTGAGCCTACTCTATGCAAAAGGCAACCACAGAGTTAAAGAAATATCACGTTCAGCAAATGCACTATTTTAGTGCTGCTGAAATACCCTAAGTGCAAACCGCTGGGTGAGATTCTTCCATTAGCTGCCCTGTCACAAATTCAGTCACTCCACTGTTGTGGAACTACTTACAAAACCAGACTGAAGTCAACCAAGAGTTAACTTTACACTGAGTAAATAGGAACGCGATCTCCTGGCTCATAAATGTGACTGCTCGGGACAGAAATCTCAGCATCTGGCCCAAGCAGATCCTTATCTGTGACCTATGAGAGTGCAATTGATAAAGTTAATGTGAACATAAGCTTTATCCAAACAGCTAAACAACATCTGCAGTGGTTGAAATTCAGAATTAGTGAAAGAGCAGATTCAACTCCCCTAGCTTCAGTGAACCCGGGTATCTCAGCATCAGCAGCGACTTCAGCCAAAGAGCTATTTTTTATAAAACAGTTGTATATTTATTCCATTTGCTCAGACTTTTGGGTAAGCCAGTTTCGTCTGTAAACAATTTAAAAGTTTATTTAATTGTCTCAAGGAAACACTATGCTTATATTTTTGGAAAAACAGAAAAAAGAGCTGGGTTTATTAACTAAGAAGATCCCGCGTCCAGTGGCTGACGTCCATTCCAGTGAACACTCAAGCATGGTCAGCTGTAACGGCTTGTGAGTTGGATAAACTGGAAGTATTTAATTGCACCAACATTTCAGGAGATAACACAACTTGCCTGAACTTTTTAAATCAAAAAGTCATAGATTTTATTTGGTTTTTAACCCAGCATCCTTGATGGTGGCTCGTGAAAGCAGTGCAACCCCCACCAAAGCTCCGAAATCAAGAAAGCACCTTTCAAATCACCATATTCCTGGACATAAAAGACCTATTTTTACTATATACTAAAAGTCCATCCCCAAGCTCACCTGTATCTTCAAGTTGCAGATGAAACCTGTTAGCAACAGGAGCTTTTGTGTAGGAAGTGACTGGACTGTAGTTATGCTCGTAAGCCCACTTGATCAAACTCTCATGCGATGAGGGAATATCAGGTATTACTGATTTACTCATAGTCATGGATCGTTCCGTTTCCTTTCCAAAACCAACGCTATTTGACGTCTGCAAACAAAGAAAAACTTGGTTCATGATTTACCATTTAAGGATTCTTAAATCTGAAATAGTGACAGTGATGGAACATGTTTTTCCACTCTATTTCACTCTATTAAATAACAGCAAACTGAGAACACCTGGGAAATGACCCAAACTCTGCCACTGTGGGCACAGAGCTGCTGCATACATGGAGGAAAGCCAAAGGGGACCTTCCTCCCAGCCTCTGCCTGGAGTATTAATGTATTATATTACAATAATTATTTATTAATCAGGTTAAAAAAAACCTGTTAATGCCTAAACGAGACAAAGATGTATTTACAGCCATTCATATAATGCCATTTTTTCTTCAAAACTTGAGCCAAGAAGGCCAACGCCATCCTGGGCTGGATGAGAAGGGGTGGCTGTAGGGCAGAGAGGTTCTCCTGCCCCTCTGCTCTGCCCTGCTCACACCACAGCTGCAATCTTGTGTCCAGTGCTGGGCCCTCAGCTCCAGAAGGACAGGAACTGCTTTAAAGAGTCCAGCAGGGCCACAAAGATGAGATGCTGCAGGGAGTGGAGCATCTCCTGCTGAGGAGCGACTGAGGGAGCTGGGGCTCTTGAGCTTGGAGCAGAGGAGACTGAGGGGTGCCCTCATTCCTGGGGATCCATTGGGAAAGGGCAGTGTCAGGAGGAAGGAGCCAGGCTCTGCTCTGGGATGGCCAATGCCAGGACAAGGGGCAATGGTCCCAAGCTGGAGCACAGGAGGGTCAACCTGAAGATGAGGCCAAACTTTGTGAGTGTGAGGGTTCTGGAGCATGGCCCAGGCTGCCCAGAGAGGTTGTGGAGTCTCCTTGTGTGGAAACACCCAAAGCCCTGGCCGTGTTCCTGTGTGACTGCTCTGGTGATCCTGCTCTGGCAGGGGTTGCACTGGGGGAGCTTTCCAGGGCCCTTCCAACTCCTCATATCCTGTGATTCCATAATTTCTTTGATTAGAGCATTACTTAAGCTCCACATGGGAAAACCTTTGTTCAAATGAGCATTACTGAAAAAGGCAAAACACAGCATGCTCATGAAGTAGAGCTGATACCAGCTCATGCTTTAAAGTCAGCTGGCACCAAGGACAGTCTGTGCCTCTCCAAATGAGCTTCATACTAGAAATGCTGTGTGCCTCCTGCAAAATGTTGAGTATATTAAACAGGACTGAATTAAATGCTTAATGGAGTGATAAGTGAGAGCATGCACGTTTATGCAAGGCAAAACTACTTCAAAGACAATACATAGTTTCTGCATGTAAATATTATTGCATTTTAAATTAAGTTTTACACAAATACATGGGGTAGAGCAAACTCATAAATGCACTTGCCGACCTCTTAGTGTAATTATTAAATAATGACAAATACTGGCTGATCAAAGTTGGCCATGGAGTACAGATGAGTCACAGTCAGTCAGCTTTCATTTTGCTCTAAACATTTTGCGAAATTTCAAAATGTTCTTGTCCAAATGGGCAAGTCAAAGGAAGATAACAAGCATCTCCAGTTGTTAGAGAAGCAGGTAGAAAATATTCACTGGTATTACACTTTAACTTGCTTCTAAGTGCTTAAATTTAAACATGTATTCACACAAAGCCAAGTACATGTGTATTTTTTCACTCACAACATTACTATTATCACTGTAACAATCACATCAACAACTACAGAACAAGCTGAACACACAGATAAGCAGGAAAGACACTTCTCAACAATTCCTGCAATGTGTTTGCATTGCACTCGCTATGCAGATGATCCCACTGCATGCTCTACAACACTCTCAATCCTAGTGATTGCTTGATTGCATTTATATATATATATGTGTGTGTGTGTGTGTGTGTGTGTGTATATCTAACCCCATCGGTTTCCCTCAACATGAACAAATCTTAATTCACTGATCTTGGCTGCACTTCTCTACCTGACCTCAGACACGGAGCTTTTGAGCAATAAAGTGAATAAAGCTCGCAGAGTCCTGATGCAGTGGCACCCTTTACCTTTAGCTCCCTCCCTCATTTATTCCTGATGACCCAGCTCTGCGCCCTTTAAACACTCACAGCTTCACAACTGAAGTGAAAGGGAATTTCAGGTGCAGAGTGGCTGGTTTGAGGATAATGTTATCACTACAGTTACCAATGAGCAGCAAAGGCCACTGAAGATAAGAAACAAAAAGGAAGCAATAGATCTCCCAATTTTAGAGCCTTACTGCTATTTTAGATGAAATAATCTTTTATACCTCAACAGATACAAATCTAGACATTATTTATCGCACATTTTCGTGTTACCACACAGTTTCAACTGACAGGAATTATTATGCTACCCCAACTTTGCTGGATCTCCCTCTCTGCTTTCCTTTTCTTTTTTCTTTTTTGTCATGAGAAGACAGCTGAACAAATATTATCTCAGAATTTCACTGTCCTCGCTGGCACCTGACTATGTCGAGGGCTTGTTTATACCTCTGCACTCCATGCTGAGCCTGTAAATGTTCAGTCCTGCATCGTCTCAATGGAACAAAACTGAGCACAGGGGCTCGCAGGAACAGACATCCCTTCCTTCACACACAGCGGATGAAACCAGGCCATCAGAGCCACCTAACATACCCCAAATAGAGAGAGACCATTTCAGCAACTGGTGGGCAGTCGTTCTCATGTACAGAGCAGTCCCTCCAAGCTTTTGAAACCCTCACAGGTTTGTTCTCCTGCCCCTCTGCTCTGCCCTGCTCACACCACAGCTGCAATCTTGTGTCCAGTGCTGGGCCCTCAGCTCCAGAAGGACAGGAACTGCTTGAAAGAGGCCAGCAGGGCCACAGAGATGAGATGCTGCAGGGAGTGGAGCATCTCCTGCTGAGGAGCGGCTGAGGGAGCTGGGGCTCTTGAGCTTGGAGCAGAGGAGACTGAGGGGTGCCCTCATTCCTGGGGATCCATTGGGAAAGGGCAGTGTCAGGAGGAAGGAGCCAGGCTCTGCTCTGGGATGGCCAATGCCAGCACAAGGGGCAATGGTCCCAAGCTGGAGCACAGGAGGTTCAAGCTGAAGATGAGGACAAACTTTGTGAGTGTGAGGGTTCTGGAGCATGGCCCAGGCTGCCCAGAGAGGTTGTGGAGTCTCCTTGTGTGGAGACCCCCAAAGCCCTGGCCGTGTTCCTGTGTGACTGCTCTGGTGATCCTGCTGTGGCAGGGGTTGCACTGGGGGAGCTTTCCAGGTCCCTTCCAACTCCTCACATTCTGGGATTCTGTACATGTCACCTCTCTCACTCCTTGCCCCTCCACTCACTTCTTCTCTTCCTGCAACTTCACTTTGTCCACTGCACAACCCAAAGCTTTGCAAAGGACACCAAGCCCAAAGGAAGCAACGTGAACAGCAGGTAGTTCACAAGCACAGAAACACACAAGCACTGCACTGGGGTTGATGTAAGGACAGGCTGCAAACGGGAGTTAGCACAGCCCGAGAGGAAAGCATTGCATGTGTATTATGTGCAGTTATTTTACCTAAAAGTATTCCCATTTCACTTGGTTTTGTGTCCGTCTTCCTTAAGAGCTTCAGGAAACACAGCAAGCTGGGAGACGAGCTAGATGACCCAGAACGTCGTTCTCATTTTGTGTCTATGAACTTAGACCTTAACTCTCAGTGCTGGGTCTGAGGCAGAGCAGCACTAACCTTTCCCTCTCCGTTTGCCAATCCCCTCAAGACAATTCTGATTCGTACCGAGGGCAAGAAGTTAGGAAAATTGAAGTGCATGGAACCGCTTCAACTCATAAAAAGAACATTGTGAAACATTACCTAATTGTTTAGTAATGTTTTTATGCATTGTCTAAATTTGGGCTTGGAAAGGCCTTCAGCTTCATAGAGATACGAACAGATCCTAAACGCTGGGTGTACAGGGCTTTTTAATGACAGGGGGGTGTTCAGCTCCCTCCAACACCCCCCTCTCAGTAAAGGGGAACAAACATGCATTTAGAAAATGAGGCATCTATATAAATGAAGCAGTATAGCAAACAGTGACTCACAGATCCTAACATAAACATACAAAGTCTTTTATATGCTGGCATTTCCATATATAGTATTACTTTCTCTTTTTGATAATCTAAATAAACCTTTATCTTCTGCTGCTCATTACAGAAGGAATTTTCACTTACACTTTTAACCTGTACTTTCAATAATTAATAAAGAACAGCTTTAAAAAAAAATAGCAGCCTTGCTTTTCTATACTCAAGTGCAGCACTTTAGACCTTTTTAAAACCTCTAGAATTCCTCGCCCTGAAAATTCATCACCCATAGAGAGGTAGCTTCATGGATATGAAATATGGTAGTTCCAAACATGAAGTGGACTAAGGCACAATTCTCTGTCCTGTGAAAGTAGACCCATACAGGCCTAAGTATACAGTGGTGAATTTGATGTAATATCCCAGAATTAAACTTCCCAGTCATTAAACTGGGAAGTGTGGTAATTAAGTAATAAAGTGTGGTAATCCCAGGCAACTAACCCTGACCTTTCTCCTTACGGGCTGATTATTTAGGACCTACAGAATGACCAGAACATGCTTTCTTGTCCATAACACAGAGATGTCTCAAGGATCAAAAGGAAATGTCATCATCCACCCTAGATAATTTTTCCATTCAGTTTTGTGAGCATCACCATAATTTATCTCCTTTTACTTCCCCCAATCTCAAAAATCTAACATTAAATCCCGCCTACCAATTCTGTCCTCTTAGAAGATTTAGATCAAAGCTACCAAACGAAGTAAAATTCTGATAAATACAGACAGCTGGAGTTCGAAAAGGTATCTGAGTTACTGCAGAATTGTCAACCAGGAGGTCACAGGGTGGTCCTGAGCACACATTCAGCTCAACCATACATAACTGATCACTTAGGACAGAACTAGGCCACACATTTACAGGCGGCAAGATGAGTCCAGTTTTACTTATTTATTTATTTCAGAGCAAAAGAAAACCCATTTTCTTAGTAGAAATGGTCTCGAGCCACAAAGCCTGTACTAAAAATCACTGTGAATCAACCTCCAATGATGCGTAAGTATAGTTTCAGAAGTTTAACTTCAGAGATCCTGGTTTAGTTTTGGAGGGTGGTTTTTTTGTGGTCTGAGGAGAGGGGAGGTCAATTTGACCAAACACTTGCTGGGGACAGAGGTGCTGACAGGGAAGAGGACTAAAGACTACTACAACCACAAGTGAAAGGAGTAAAATAGTTCTACTTCTAAAGGGACGTGGGTGTGTGCTATGTGTATCTAGGATTATCCATTCTGCACTCACAGGCATCTTTCCAACTTCTGAGATGAACCTGTAGATCGACTCAAAGTAAGAGAAATAAACATCCAACTCGGTATTTCAACAGAAATCAAAAAGACAGGGACCCTAAATCCTTGTGCTGGTCAGTTTAATAACCCAGATATTAGAAGTTAACGAGAAAAACATAGATAGTTTCTGTATTTACTCCTTGAAATGCAATAACAATTTGAAAAAGCAGCTAAGAGAGAAAGCATTCAGAAATCAATACGGTTTAGCGCTGTATCACATTTAAATGGACGCTATAGTGCGGTATCTCTCAACGAATGAAGGTGCCTTAACTTACAATCACTTCCAGCTTCCCCTGCACATCATGCGACTTGATAACCCAGTTGACAGACTTCTTACACTTGAGGATAAGCACGACATCTCTCACAAGCTTGGCGCCGGGTTGAGATGGTTTAATGTCCACAATTATATCCACCTGGAAAACACTGTGTGTGGAAAACAGAGAGAAGAGTTACACCAGAATGCCAGAAATTTTCAGCTATCAACCTTCTGCCAATCCATCATGTTTCCACTGTCTGGCCAGCTGATTAAAATGCTGGATATTATCCCAGGCAACACAACATGTGCAAAACAGATTGTTATTCCACACAGGCTTCAATGATTTTTTTTTGCATAACAATAAAAACAAATGCTTTTTAGAAAAGAAAAATCATATTTCTGTCTCTTGTTTACTAGGAGTGTGCTACTCTCATTTCAGCTGCTATTTAGGGCAGGTTAGTTATACGACTAGCAGTTTGCTTTATAAAGTAAATGTTGTTTTCTTATTTCACTGTGGCAGTGCCTAAATATAGCTGTTTCAGTTTCCTCTGGCTCTAACTGTATTAAAGCTCAAAATAATACCTTAAATAAAAAAGCAAAAAGGCAAATTAAGCAGGTTAATACCCAAAAAAATGCACAAATACTATATTGGGGACTGTCTCTGCCTAGGCAGTTCAATTGTGGAAACTACTTTGCTTAGGATCTTGCGTGTGTTGAGGAATTAAGCCCTGTATTCAGTTTCCAATACTTCTGGATAAATACTTACTTTAAAAAGAAAAGAAAACAGATGTCCAGCCTACTGCTTGCTGGAAAATAGATGAACACTATCCAGCTTTTCAAGACCTCAGTAAAGCAAGCAGAGCAAATGGGTTTGGACTCATCAATAACATCTCGTCATGCAAACTATTAATTCGCCAGAAAAACCTTTACTTCCAGATCATCTTACGGGGCCGTGTGTCACAAGAACGTGCTCAGCCCCCAGTAACAGGTTTCAAATATTATTCTGCACTGAGACCTGGTGTATCTTGGGACCTCCTGCAGTTTTACACTCGCCCAGCTCAGCTTCTGTATGCTTCTTTGTGGATATAAACTTTGTAAAGATAGCCGTGGATAACACATAAAGCTAAGAATGAAGGAGGAGGAATTTAACTTATGACTTTTTTTACTTTTAATAACAAAACATTTAAACTATTTGCAGTGTTGTCATCTGAAAAAGAAATTCCTGCCGTACCATCAGCCAAAGCCAAAAGCCAAAAGCCCAGGGGGTTTGGGGACAGTGCTGTCATTGTGTAACGCCCCGAGGGACTTACAGTGATCCTGATGCTAAAGAACAGCTCTGTTCAGGATGGGGCTGTAACTCACCCTGCACAGAGGCACATCGTTTGGGTTTGCCACTTCCACTCCATCTCAGCACTTCCTTACTCTCCCAGGGTTGCCAGGCAATGATATTCTCAGGCTCTGGGTTCACCATCTTGCCATGAGATAATGACCCTCCTTGCAAAAACCCCTCCTCCCAACCTCTGTCTCCCTGTGTGATTTCCTCTTTAGGGATGGGATGTGCTCAAATGTAACGTATTGAAGGAGCAGCACAATTGCACCATGCTGGCTATCCAGTGCACAGACAGGATTACAATTCTACCTTCTCTCTGATAAAACTGTACTTTTCTACTTGCAAAAGGGAGAACCATCTAAGTTTCATGGCAAATTTCTGTTCTAGCAACCATACTGAGCACTCATGAAGAGCTTTTCCAGATAGCTGAAGCAAACCCCATTCATGCACTCGTACTAAGGCCTAGGAGAGACCAGCAAAGGATGAATGTTTTCAATGTCTTACCTTCCAGAGGTACCTTTGACAATTGAGATTATCCTCATAACATCTACAGAGAGTTAAGTAACTTCCCTTAACCACTAGTTACAAATATTTTGGTCAGCGGACCACTGCCAACCTTTAACATTGCTTGCAATTATCAAACTCTCCCTTAAACTCAATAAAATACTGTTATGATTCTGCAGAGCATCTGTGGAGCAGTGACCATGGACCACAGATCACTGGTGACCTCTGGAGCACTGCTTGGGAGGCACTGCCCCACACCTTGCTACCTGTGACGGGCCAAGACTACTTCTAACCTCTCTCACCTTCTCATACTGTGGTCCCACCTCAAACCCTGTCCTGTCAGACGCTGTCCTTATTCATATTCCCTCGTTCACCTTATTCTTGGAAAATATTTGATTGATTAAGCAAGATGTAGAGCAGGATAGAGTCCATAAAACCCGTGCTTTGCAGTCTTGTCCAGAAAAATCCTGGGATCATAAAGCAGAATCCAAAATTTACGGACTGAAAAACTAAGAACTAACTTCTATGCTGAGGTCCAAGCTCTCCTTGCAAGGATGAAATGGCTACTTCAGTTGGTTTTCAAGGGAGAGGTGAAATATTTAGCTGTCCTTTCAAATAGATTTATTCTATTTAGATGATACTTTACCTGTATGGGTTGGAATTCGGAGTGATTAGTTCAATGATATGAACTTCTCTCTCTTGGACTAAGTCAGACATAAGGCAGCCCTCCGCTGTTTTTGGTTGCAGGTATCCCGCAAGGTAATTTAAAGAGAGAAAATTCTTTTTTATGTTGCACGAGGGAGGAAAAACTTGATCTGGAGGGGAGAAAAAGAAAGCATGTGCACCTTTACATATAGATATCAGCTTACATACGTGTACGCACCACAGCTACTTCAGTCTGGCACTGCACTTTATGACATAGGTCTCTATGCTAGAAGGTCTATCTATTATTTATTGTAAGCACTGATGACAAATCAACATAATATTGAAAGGGAGATCACTGCTGCAACAACACAGCACATGTCTGCTGTAAAATATATACTTCCAAACTGAACAGTTCATATTCATGGATTTAAATGTTTAATGAAAGAAAGCCCCTACAAAGAGAAACCTGAAAACAACGCTGAAGAAAAATAGGTGAGCGTTTTTCAAAATGAATAAAATAGCATTTAATTTGTTCCTTGCACCTTTAAAAAAAGATTTTTCTTTTGAGATTAACTCATAAAAAACTTTCGTGCTCAATTCTTTCTCCCTTTAGAAAAAAATATTCTTGGTATTCCAAACTTACCACATTTAAAAGATCACAAAAAGTATTTTTCATTTCTTTGCCCAATATATTTACCTATACATTGTGCAGTCACTCGCTGTTGTCTAGAAATACTGCAGCTCTCTTGTGCTTGGAAAATTGAATACAGCAAGCAAAGGATTAAATCAGTTGTCGAGATTAAGGAGTTTGACCACAATATCCTTAACTGAAAAGAGGAAATTCTGGAGTAGATATTCAATCTCTTATTTGATTTGAGCTGCCTAGCTGATCATAAGCATTAACCAGTGTGCAATGCAAACCAAAAACCAGTCACTCGCTATGAGTTCTCATGCACAGCCCACGTTGCCGTACTCCACGCAGCAGTATTTCCACTGAAAAATAGGAATACTTCGTATTTCTCAGATAGCTCTACATATGAATTGTCATAGGACACAGAAGGACTAAGTATCATGCTCAAAGCCACCAAGTCCTGTAAGAATATAATTCCACATGGCTGGCTCTTTGGCCCTTGCTTTACAAAGAAGGCTTTCCTGTTAAGGTCAGAAGCAAGATAGAAATAAGAAAAGAATCAGATACAATACATTATTGATGCAAAACTGTGGACAAACTCTGAAAAGCTGAGCTGAGACCTCTGTTAGAGTATCTGTTCCCTGAACGACAGCTGAAACATCTCTGCTGAATGGCATTTGTGTGCTGCACACAACTATGCAGGCAGACCAGAGCCTCCTGTGACTCCAGCCACTGCAGAAACAATTTGGGAAGTTTCTTCTGATCATATCCAAAGTAGTCTTTGAACATTAACACTGCTGCCTTCCCTGCAGAACCGAGGAAAGCCGTGTGGGGCTGTAACTACTCACGCTGCCCAAGCAAAGCACTTCTCTAACATCTGGTACGTGCCCTGCCAGATTCCTGCCTTGAATGCAGCTGCAGTCCCTGCCAGCTCCTCCCACAACAGCATAGAACAGAAAATGATCCCAAATTCTCTACACTGAGTGTGAATTCATATATATATATATATATACACACACACATATACACACACACACGTAGATGGAGATATGAGGTTTCTCAGCTTCCGGACAACACAATTCAAGCTATAAAATAACAGCCCCTGAGCAGTTTGTGGATAACAACCACACATGCTTCATTTGCCACTGCAAAGAACTTGGTTCCTGCTCCTGGCACTTGCACCAAACTCCTCTGGAGCTCTCAAGATCCGCTGCTCTTGCAGCCACCAGCACAGAGGCTCCCCAGCCTGGGCCTCCGCTCAACAGCACAGCTTCTCCTCTGCAGCAAAGTTTAACTCTGTCACTGGCTACTTCAAGTACACATTTACTTCCCCACTTCACCAAAACATATTTACTCTCGTCCACACCAGTTACCAAGATCTGAGCTGGACCAGAAAAGGAAAGGGGATCCATTTCATTTTTGCTCACTATACTTTTGTTTTTTTGAGTTTCAGGGCTGACTTCTTACTTTGGAAAGGGACTGCAGGTGCCTGCAATCCATTAAAAACCTAACAAAACCAGCCAGCAAACAGTCAATTTATGGACCTGTGCCTCTCTAATCTCCACAGACTCCCAATACAGGACCAGACATGAGGTTCTCCTGCAATCCCCTCAGTGGAGGTCCCTGGCCAGCACGCCCGGGTGTCATGGGGCTGCTTGGACGACAACAGGATTGCACGCTGGGATCTGCAGTTTCTCTGGGCAGCACCTCCGTTTTACAAACGAGGACAGACACCAATTCTGCACAAATTAGGTGTCATCTGCAGGTTCTTGGCTAAAAGATGAGTATCCCAGTGTAAAACGATGATGAGGTTCTCAATCAGGTGTCATTCTCCAAAGACAGGTGCCCTGGGCAGCAGCAGTTTGATTCAGCAATAAAAATCCCATCCAAGCAGAGCTTGCCTCTCAAAGTCTGAGCCTTGTTCCCTGCTCTGATGGCAGGGCTTTTTCTTGTGTGTTTTGCAGTTTGCTAGCACTTAGCACTTACTCTTGGTGGTACTCACCCCCCTGCAGGACACACAGCTAAAGCAATCACCTTCAAGTATTAAATCAAGCAAGCACGGTGTGCAGGACGCGTGCACTGGTGTGTACAGGCTATGAATTCGGACAGGACTGAAGCTTCTGCCAGGACAAGAGCACAGTGCTACCATCTGTAAACAGACTGCACATTTTCCAGCCTAGTTATTGTAATGGCTGACTACTTTTTTTTCTTATTTAGCTAAGAAATGCATTGAAATTAGGCTCCCTCCAGGCTAGCACATCTGCCCTGGATTTACACTGGCGGTACTGGATGTGTTATGGTTTAGCCTAACTTTAGTCTTCTTGTGCAATTGTATCTTACTGAAGCACGAGGCATTAAACTGACTTCTGCTGAAAAACGTGTCCTAAGATCGCTTGCACCATGAGCAGTCCCACTTTCTAGAATCTGACACCGATTACCACGGCAATCACTTGCCCACCTCCTGCAATCGAAGCCAGACCACGAACCTCACTTCTTGTGCCCCCTTCTTCCAAACCCTCATTCTGGCCCCTTTAAGTTCTCACCGTGTTCCCCATCCCTGCAGTATTTGATCGGCCACTCTCTTGAATCGCAGGATTCAGATGCGCTTGGCCCCGACCCAGTTTGCTAACTCACTCAGCTGCCTTTCATTTGCAGCTTCTGAAGCAATTTGAGAGACCCATGGCATCAGAAACAGTTTTATTCCATAAAAGATCACCCTTCTTCAGATCTTTTAATCCTCTGGCTTGCATTTTCTGTTTGCTGTATTCAGCTACAGCCTCCACTTCTAAAATGTACGACCACCTATAGATTATGGGCAATACTGGCTGCGATTCACACTGGCAGCTGAGGGTACCTGACTTGAGGAGTGTGAGTTTTGTGTAAAAAGCCTGAAAAGTCTGTGGTTTGTGGAATCCAGTGATCCCATCACTCCCACGCCAGGTCCATATCTCGCATGGTTTTCATAGATCTCCTCACACAACTGCTGCAGTTCAAGAACCGAACCCTATTCCCCCCTGCTGCACACATGCATTACCCCCACGCGTACAGGCATACTCATTCTTCTGCCAAGAATGTAAATCAAAATCAAATATGCTTACAGCTGAGCTAGTTTGTAGGAGCCTTCTCAGAAACTCTCTGTTTGGGTTGCTTGCCAAGTTCCATTTTTTGTACTTATTCTTTATTAAACTGGGTTTTAACACACTCTAAAGATGATGCAAAGCTCTCCTATTTAACTGCCTACTTTGATTGGAGATGTGCACATCAACAAACAAAATTTTATCTGTTTCTTTGACATATATAAGTCAACATTCATCTCTGCAACGCAGAGACCACTACTCCCCACGTGTACGCTCCAAGAACACTTTAATAAGCTAATAAATATATTTCTGAATGATCTTCTGGCATTAAAATCCAAGACTGGTGCCAAGTAGAACAAAAACCATGCAGGGGGATCCTGTATAAATTTGGCAGGATTTGGATAAAACCAACACAGGCATGTTCCGATTTTGGGGGGCAAGCCTCATGCTTCAGGAAATCAAATGATCAGATACATGTGGTTAGGAAAGAATGTTTTCACCACAGAAGGTTTTTGGGGTTTTTTATCGTAGCAAACTAGTTCAGCTATGCAGGAGTTTTTCTCTAGAAATATTGCTGAATTGGGCTGCTGGTCCTGCTAAATGCTGAGCTCACCAGTACTTGCTGGATGTTGATAAAATGTTCTATTGATTTCTACTTTTCTCATCGCTGAACTTCTTGAGAGAGCAATGCGTTTCAAAACATCTGGATCACTACCTGCAATGCAAATCAGTTCCCACTCACTTTTACCAGCCTTTATTCTTGATGATTTTGGTTTGGACTAAAGCAAACACCCAGGTTTAGGTTGAACTTGGATGACATCAAAAACCAGTGAAATGCAGGCCATTAGGTAAAGAACCCTGACACCTTAAAACTCCTCAAACCCGCAAATAAAGAACATTTCACCCCCAACCATCCTGCACGATACAGGAAAGTCTGCTCTCCCTGCAAAGTTCCTTTTGTGAGCTATGTACTTTCCAGAAAACAAACTTGAATAGAGATAAGTAGGGCATAAATCAACTGCCTTGCTCCAAGAACGTAGTGAAAGAGGAGAGCTATGGCTCTGGTGTTATCCATGGGCTGACCAGTTTGGGGGGATGTCCCCTGCAGTGGCCATGGCTGAGGGAAAGCACGAGCCAGAAGATGCTGCAGAGGCTCCTATTGCTAAGCTGTTCCAACTCTGCTCAGCCCAAACTCTACCCTAATCTGGGCCTGCGAAACCCCTGAGGAGCTGCAGTCCTCTCCCACCTGCCCTGGTGAATTTGGCACGTGGCTCAAAGGGACAAGAAATCTTTCTCCTTGGGATGAAAATACACAAAGACATCAGACTGAAGCAACTTATCTTGGTGAGGAAAGCAGTTAAGTCTTTGCTAAAAATAGCCTGGATCCTTACACAAGCAAATACTGAAAAAAACCACAGACCAACCAAAAACCAACCAACCAACTCAGGTCTTTCTAGAAATTACCCCCTACCTCAGGTTCTCTACTTGAGTCCTTTTGATGAACACATCCAAACAATCACCATGAGCAGTTTGCTCCTTTTAAAAGGTGAAGCTTTGACTCCTGTAAGATTTTCACCAATTGCATCCACATTTATGAGCATAAAATTATGGCACCAGAATCCATTAAAAGTTGTCTAAATCCAAGGCCTGGTCTGCAGACTTACTCCTGTTTCTCTGCCTTCTCCTTTCACATCACATCTCTTAAAATGAGAGCTATGTTTAAAGATTAAAATAAAAAAATGTGAACTAATACTACACAGCAAGACTCATCCTTAACACCTAGAAGTGCCTATCGGTTCTGTTGGGTTTCTTTTGCTTTACCTTCTCCTACTTTAATATAGATGTTTCTTGATATTTTGAGTTCAGAGAAAGACGTTACTGCTCCGTATTCCTTCTGGGCCCACTGCAGCAGATGTTCATTTTTCTCCGGAAAAAGCTTTTCTTCCGTTTCTGCTGACAAGGAGAAATTTCCCTTCTCAAACTGAACAACGGAACCTAAAGACACCTGATGGGAATAAAAACAGATTTTTAACGTGGTACATTTATCTGCACAGACAGGTAGCTTCTATAACCAATGTAATCTGTCGCATTCACTGAGGGCGATTACGGCTTATTTCCAACAACAGCCAAGCTTCACGTGTTTTAACATCTGCATAACAATTCCTTTTTCAGAGACCCTATTAAAAAATGAGGCACCCATCAGCCTGGCTGGGGTGCAGGTGGCACAGTCGTTTAACATCTTTATCA